TTCCTTTAAAAGATGGATATTGGTGGTAGTCTGGAGATATGCCTGTTTCGGTTCTCAAACTTTGTATTAGTAGCAGTCAGATTAGAAATTGGTCAGTGTCAATTTACTGTGTTTTTCTCGGCCCTAAGATGTGTATAAACTATCATTAGCAAATGAATTCTTAACTATTTCACACGTCAGTCATGGCTAGTTTGTCTACAAGTCGCATGTCTCGTCATCATTCTCCTCATCTAGCTCAGAGTTTCGAGCTTAGATACTTTTGACCAGGCTTCCAGACTCTTGTAGAAACTTGATTTCGACTAACATCAAAAGTCTCTTTCTATTTATTTATTTTTGGATTGGCAAAAAATATTTTATGCCCCGACTTTCCTTTCTTTTTCATTGTTTTATATAACGGAAGTTATGCGTGGAGCCTGTCTTATTTTAATAGATTTATAGTTATAAATAAGTACGCTCTGATTCCGCAAATTTCAGGCGTTGTTATGCCAGCCTCAGTTTTTTCTCTTTCTTATTATTTGAGAGAGAAGTATAGAGATACAATAAGTTATAATGCTTTTAAAGTAAAGTGCAAATGACTTATTTTAATTTGGATTCTTTCTTTTTTTTGTTTATATATATTATTTTCTTATTTTATTTTTATCGGTACTCACTACATAATAAAACACACTATTATAATAAAAACATAGATGATAATACAAGTATGAAATTACACAAAGATAATGACGATGCTAATTTTTAAAAGAAATTAATTATGTAAAAATTCAAAACACAGAAAGAGAAGGTCGGCGTCTCTGGGCAATTACTCAGAGCATATGATCTCGATTGCCGCACAGGTATTCACAGAAGTTGAAATATCCGGAATTCCGTTGTCAGGCAAGCTATCGTTTGGATCTCATATCATATTAGTCTTCCGTCGTCATTTGGCGTGGCTTGAGGCAGAGAAACAAACAAGCGATGCTGATCGAGCGATTGGTTTAAACTGTCTTCTATGACACGATCTTTGGCAATTTTCAAGTTGACTTTTGTTTTCCAAGTTCATTTCCCCTCGATGTTTGTTAATGGTGTTTTTATTGTCGTTTTCTTTTTTTTTTTTTTTTCAAAATTCTTTTCTTTTCTTTGCTTCCTTTTATCCTGCATAGCCTCGATCTCATGTTCAGCAATCTCCCTTTTCTCCATTGTACATCTGTTTCTATATCTTTCTCTCTCTCTCTCTCTCTCCCTCTTAATCTCTCTTAGCTTTCTGAATCTCTCGCTAGATCTCTTGTTAAACTTCGCACTTTCTTACGCTTTTGTCACGAAAGATAATTACCCTAACCTATTATTTTTATCTCCCACACTTTCTGTTTGGCTTATTTTAAGATGAATTCCTGATAATGTTTATCAAGTTTAACTTAGCACCTATAGATATAATGTAAAAGACTAGAACGATTCTTTCTTCTTCTTCAACATCTTCATCTTCTTGTTCTTCATCATTTTTTTATCTTCTTCATCTTCATCTTTTGGTGCAGTGTTCATTCAGGACGTTTGCTTTTCAGAAATTCCTTTCCTTTGTATTTCTAAGTAAATTGTCTTTTTGTTCTTTATTAAACCCAATTCTCAATCTATTTACACAAGCTAGGTTATGCACTGTTTTAATCTGTCCCTCTTGCCTTCCATATGTCCGGTGAGTACGAAATTTTCCAAGCCCTCTTTTCTTCTTATGTACCGTAGAAGTTTAATTTAACAAATTTATCTTATAAATTACGAAGGCAATGGATGTTGCAAAGCATTTTCTTTTTAAAACATATCCAAATTTTCTACTTTATTTGATTTCAAAATATTTTCGTTTGACATTTAATCATTTATATATATATATATATATATATATATATATATATATATATATATATATATATTGTATGAATATATATATATATTTTTGCCTAGTTTATTTTCTAGAAAGCTTCATATATGCTTAGTTTCGTATCCGAAACGCAAACAAATCAATTTCTAAAGAATAGGTGTATTATGTATCCGACAATTTGTCCCTATAAACATATATATTTGTCTTTATGAAAAAATATAACAATTATTGTTCTACTATCGGTTATGAGCCTTCTTTTGAATTAATGTTAGAATTAATATATTATTTTCGTTCTCATCACATTCATATATATATATATATATATATATATATATATATATAAATATATGAAAATTTCTCCGATTTAACCAGTAGAGAAGACAATTTTTATGAATAAAAATGACGATAGAAGAAATTCTACCGTCATAAAAAAAGAAAATAAATCACTCAGAAGGAAAATTCTAGAGAGTGCCGCCATAGAATATTACCCAAATTCTAATACGCCCAGATTTTTTTTTCCAATTTCACCTTTCTTATTAAAATTACTGCTCTCACAAACAAATGTACGCAACAGATTCATAAAATCAAAAGAAAATGGTTAAATACATCAGCACAGATATAATGACAATATTCTCCACACGTGACAAATACTGACGTTATTTTCAGTTAACAATATGAAAATAGCGTTTCTCTACATTCGAATTGCTAGGAACATTCTATTTGTTTTTATTAGTTACCTTGTTCAATTAAATTCATTTCATATTTTGCTTTGATAAAGTCCACATTCATAAAGACAATTGGACGAAACGCGTCAGGAATTACTAGTTTTCCTATTGTCATTTTTATTCATATATATATATATATATATATATATATATATATATATATATATATATATATATACTTAAAACACTTTTATAAAATGCAACGGTAGAGGTCATCAGTGATTTTACTCTGGCTTCAATACGGATTTCGGATATTGCAGTATCAGATCAGTTCTGCTAGGCACCCCGACCTATTAACAGGCCACCTGTTCGCATAATTCGTTCCACAACGTGATTTTAATAACAGTAATAAGAGGACAACGAAAATAGATGTATTTTAATCCGAAAAATGCTGAGAAATGTGTTATTGTTTTGGAGCGTGCAGTCGCAACGCTGAGTTTGAATTTAAATTTTAAAGTTGTGCGTTCTTGTACAAATATAGTGATAAGAGAATTCTTTTTTACTGGTAAATTTTCTGAGAGTAAAAACAAGAACAAAATCTATTCCATATCTGAGGATGTCTGTAGGAACAGACGAAAGCTTGTAAAAATGATAAGAACTTATGCAACTGAAATTTATGAAACAAGGATCTTTTCATGCATAAACAGGTTCGGGGTTTTTGTATATTATTTGAATTGTTCGCGATGATGGATTTCTCGCCAATTAAATCATTAACCTTTGTATTTGTTCTTTGTATGAATAATTCATGAATATATATATATATATATATATATATATATATATATATATATATATATGAAAGAAAAATACAGAAAAAACAAAATTCTGAATATGCATTATTAATGTTAAAAAAATAAAGTCGACGTCGGACGTTTCGGTCTATTTAAGACCATCTTCATGGACATTTTCATTTAAACATAATTAACATTATAACTTATAACAATTTAACACAAAAGACGATGGACATAAGAGCACAACTAATTCAAACATCTGTTTGAATTAGTTGACGTCGACTTTATTTTAACATTAATAATGCATATTCAGAATTTTGTTTTTTCTGTATTTTTCTTTCATACTGTCGGATTTATATCCATATATTTGCTTACATATATATATATATATATATAACAGGGTCTATATTTTCAGCTACTGTTCTACTTTCTCTGATATTAACATTATTATATGAAATAAACTATAGAAAGATACAGTTTAAATTTCTAGGACATTCAGAAGAAGCGACCACCTTTTGATTTATACTCTTTCTCTTTTCAGATTATTGCTGGGACATGGTTAACATTTTGAAATACTCAACCAAATATGGCGAAATCCTGTCTTAGACGATGAAGCAGAAGAACTTCTGTGTGAAGACACGTTACGAAACTAAGTCCTTCAAGACTGTTCAAGAAAGGTACAGAAGGAAGTTCAATTTCAACACATTTCCAGATTTCTTTCTTTGGCCGTTCTTCAAGCACAACAACTTCCAAGGCAACCCTCGCACCATTGCTGCATTCAAAGCAGCCATCACTGGGAAGATTCAAGGGGCCACCCAGGAAGAATGTGCACGCGTTATTCACAACTTTGCATTCCGTATAGTGTCCTAACCTGAACGTCTGAACCCTGGAGCAGGTAATCTCGGTCCCCTCTTGACATTTTTGGTTCTTGTTTGAGACTAATTGGTTGCAGATCCTAAAATGTAACCCGTTTGCTTTTCAATAAATAGAATTTTCATTACTCGATCATTTATAGTTCTTGATTTGTGTCCGATCATTTTGTTTAAAAAATTATGAAATCCCCGGTATAATAAGAAAATAGGGTTTAGAGAATGTGACCCTCACATGACGTATTGACAACAGCGAAAAGCAGCGAATAACCTACCTGGCGTGCTTGTGTGGACAGATGTTGGAACGGGGAACAGGGAGTGATGGTGAACAGACAAACCTTACTAAGAGATACAAAGGATAGGAAGTTGTGGAGAGACATCATCGGCCACGAACTGAAAAAACGCAACAAATAGAAGATGAATATAAGAACTAGAGACTGAATGTGGGCAGGTTGTTTCTTTTCTTTCATGTACACTGTCTCTTCAATACGTGGACGAACACCGTGCTCCACAACTTCCTGCGCCATATAGCTCTAACTATACTCTCCCAGTCTCCATTCTACAATCCATTTGCGCATGCTTATTATGTAGCTTACTCGTTGTTTCCTTCTTCCTGTTTTGTCCTCACAATATCCTTGTGAGTGTCAAATTTTCAGAGACTCTTTTCCTCGTTATGTGTCCCAGCAATTTCAGCCTTCTCTTTCAAATTCTAAATACAAGTATCCTTTTCGTTCCCATTTTACTCAAAACTTCCTCGTTGCATACATGTTCGCTATTCTCAGCATCCTTCTGTATAACGACATCTTCAGGGCTATTTTTTTGTTTCGTTCAAATGTTTATTTTTCTATTTACAATAATTTTATTTCACTTTCCTTTTCATTCATGCATCTTTCTGCTTTTTCTATTTACTTTTTCTATCTTTCTCTCTCATTTTCTCTCGTTTTCATTCATCATTCTTTCTCTACTCCTTCTTTATTTCTGTTCCATTTACTTTCTTTCTCTCTCATTTTCTCTCATTTTCATCCATCATTCTTTCTCTACCCGTTC